ATCTCTATCCCCTATCGGATGTTACAATATATATTATATTTAGCTAAAAACTTATTATTTCTCTCGATAATTATAGATTCCAATAAATCATCTCAATTAATAGTTAATTAATTGAAAAGTCGACGAAAATAATAATAAACACCCAACAAAATAAACATACTAGTCGTCAAAATAATTAATTAATATTAAAAATTTCAAAACATGGGTTGAGCTCATCTTAGTAATGTATAAAACTAGCCTAACGTATCAAAATTACAAGAAATCATATTTAAGTGAAAAGATATAACCCGAATTTTTGATAAATTGAGAAAATGAAGATGGATCTTGAAATTTTGAATCTCTTTAATGATTTCTTGATAAATTTTCACTTGCGCCTTCTCTTCTCTGTCCAAAAATCAAGCTTGAATATTTACTTGATTGCATTCTTACAAGTTCCCTTCAATTATTTCACAAAATTTATAATTTTTTCTCATTTGATGATAATAATTGATGAGTATTGGATTATGAGATATGAGAGGTCTCCAATATGTATTTTGCAGTCAGATATTTGTAGGAGTAGAAAATTGATTGAAAATCACGTCCAAATTGGTTTCCAAAAAATTTCCAATCGAATAAGGAATTGCCTTCGCACACACACATTTTTTTGTCTCTGCACAGAAGTTACTATTTTTGCCCATAACTTTTTTTTCTGATATTCGATTGAGGCAATTCCAAGTACGTTGAAAATATAATTCAAAGGTTTACAACGTTTATAGAAATATAATTTTTCCAATTCGGACGTTTACTATGTCAAAAATGGATCTCAATTTTTGACTAAAAATCTAGAATATAACTTGTGCGATTGGAAATTGATTTTGATCATATTCCATTCATTTTTGAGTTATAATTCCATCGAATTGTCTCTTAGCAACCTTTAAAGTATAGTCTTGTGATCTGAATCAACTATTGAATATTTACAATTTGGTCATCAAATTTTGGATTTTGCTTCTTTTTTTTCCCTTGATTTTCTTTTGTTTTTTCCAATTTCCCATTCAACTATTGAGTTTTACCTATATAACATAAAGAAATAATTTAGGATATATTTTGTCAAAAAAATTACCAAATATCGATATTTTAGGTCCCCGAATCAGTGTATAAAATACAATTATCAGATAACCCATAGATCTTTTTAAAAAATACATTCACACAGAACAATAGATTAAGACCACGTTAATCAAACATACAGCCAGCACATATGCAACAAATGAATAAATGAACATATGAAAAGTTCTCACCACACTTATCCCATCCCATTTCATGTTGCTCACGCCTAGAGAACACATATCTCCTATCATCATCCACCATGTTCATTAGACTGATCATTCAACTCATGTCTGATTGGTAAACCTTTATAGATCCTAAGTTCTCAAGATAATCCTCTAGCACCACATCACTTCTTCTAATTTAAGTGGATAATGGGTCTCCACCTAACAGAAGTGATATAAGTGTCTCTCTCACACTCCACCTGATTAGGGTCTCTTTACAGATAAAATGATTCCAACATTTAATCACATCTCCACTCGGGATCCAAATGTCACACTCCACATCCCCGGTATAGACCATCAATGTACCCCTAGATATTTGTACTCCATCTCGTTAATAGACATACAACACACTGCTACTGCATCTTAACTCACTATGCATGCAAACAATTACTGCCAAGGAATTAAATTGGTCTCAAATTCATTCGAATGCACATATTAATATATTCACCTCTATTGCTCCTCAATCTCGTCGATTCTCCGGACTCAGTTTCACATTACATTTCTCTATCAAACAACTAATCCAAACGGTTCCATCCCACAACCAATATATTCACCTCGATTGCTCCTCAATCTCACCCACAAAGAACAAGATAACAGTGATCATTTATAGCCACAAAGGCACGAGAAAAAACAATGAAGAAACACGAGATCGAAACCAAAATAAAAGAGGAAGTTGCCGGATTTTTCTTCACTATTGTAGCCACATTTTTTCTTCTCCAAAGGTTCACGTTTTTTTCTCACTTTTTAATACACAAATCACATACAAAACGGCTAGGGTAAAGACAACATATATATAGGCTATGTTAAGTTTTAATTGGACCAATAAATGGTTAAATGATTCAAGATTCAAAACCATCCAAGATGTAATACATATGTGCCATGAACAACATTAATTCTTTAAACTACATTCAAAGGGTCACGTTGTTTTTTGGTCGAGTTTTTGGACTTGGTTGTTAGTAACGGCCAATGCCTATGAAATTCAATCCAACATTTACATTATAGCCATAGATTCATTGTGTATCAAAATTCAACATCAATAATGGAGGATTACAAATTATTGTGTAGAATATAATGATTAATTTTTTAAGAGATTTACTCCTCATATTTATGGTGCAATAGTCTAAGATGCGATAGAGTTTGAGTATAATTAAGCTTATACAGTAATAGAGTGCTTGTGATAAAATAAGATACAAAAACCTGCCTAAATTGGGAACAATTATTCCCCAGATAAGATCGTCGCTAGTGGCAGTCTAGCGACTATCGAGCAGTGAACTGACCCTCGAGTGGCTGCCTGGCAGTAAGCGAGTCGAAACTCCTATTTTGAGCGTTTGAGCAAGATCAAGACGCGTAGTGAGCTCCGTTTCGCCATTTCCTTCTCATTGTATGATTTCTTCTTCACCTATTGCAACTTGGACTCCTTCAAGTCAAAACAAATTTCAAATTCCCAAATTGAATTTCAACTAGAATCCACAAATTGGCTTCATCTTGAATTCCCATGTCGACTCAAATAGAATTTCAAATAGAATTTGAGTCACTCTAATTTTAACATAATAGGATGACTACATTAGACAGATCTATTCGCAATGCTTTGATAATTTTTTATACAATTCATGTTAACATTAAATATGCTTTAATATTTTTAAAACGGACAAAAAGAAAAAATATAATGATACAACAATTTAAAAACCAAAAAAATTATTTTGCATATAAGTTTTTTTCTGAATCATTTCAAATCTCAATTAAGTGTCCTTATGTATTTAGAAATTTTTAAATAAAAAATATAAATCTTATGCAACAAGAAAAATTAATTAATTTACGGCTAGACCGATGAGTAACACTAAATTTACATAACTTCATCATTTACCGTAACCAGTTTTGCAAAATTTAGTGAATGAACAGAGATAACGTAATTATTTTCAACGTTTTCAAAAAAAAATAAGGGTAAAATATATTCACACCACAATTTTTGTTAACTACACCACATTTTAGTGACAATGAATATCCCTACATTTTTTTATTTTTACACTTGTGTTATCAATTTTTTTAAAATTTTATTTTTTTTAATCATCAGCCTCTATTAATTTTCATATCTTGTCTATAGAGACAATTTTCATTCAAAATGTTTGTTACGAGGGCGAAAAAGATATATTGATCTTTCACATTTTAAATAACCGAAATAAATAGCTAATACAAGAGTTAAACAAAATATTTGTCCATCCTTTCAATGCACTTTAATAGAATATTTGATTGAAAATCGTGATTAGAGACAAAATATGTAAATTAATTGAAGGTTAAGAATGAAAATGCGAGGGAAAAAAGTCGAAACATAAAAGTAAAAGTAGGCAGATATTGAACAAATTTCTTTTAATTAAAATGTGGTGCAGCAAAATGTTGTGTTAGTATAGTTACACAAAAGATTAATGAAGGTTTGAGGAAGCGTTAATTATTTTTGTAGAGTATTTAAGGTACATTTGGCATGACTTTTATGAAAAATCAAAAGGAACTTTTGATATTCAAAAGTTGCTTTTGGATCTGTTTGTCTAATTTTTTGAAAATGGTTTCGATATTTAGAAGATTTTTTTGAGAAAACTGGTTTAATGTGACTTTCTCTAAAATCACTTTCGGAATATGAAAGTACTTTTAAAATTTAATTTTCATAAAAAAATTAAGAAAGCTTCCGTCAAAACCTCTTCTATATAGGAAGCAAAAATTATGCCAAACGAGAGCATGCTCAATCAAGATTGAGAATTCTATTACTTCAACTTTATTTTATTTTTAATATTTTAGAAGACCCTTCTAATTCAATTTGTAGACCAAAAAACTCTCATGGATAAGTACAAATAAAAATCTAGTCCGGTCAAAAAAAGCTGATTTAATTAAACGATTAAACTAAATAATTCATTACAAAGAAAACCCAAGAAAATTTACATAATTTAAGTTCCTTTTTTAGCTACTGAATATAAGATTGGCCGGTGATATCGATGTCACGATCACCGGTTGAAGGCGGGGGCTTATGCTTAGGTTGGGTGATGGTCGCCTCCGCCGGCCCATCTGCACGTTGAGTCTCACTGGCTGGTGGCTTTCTTGCTTGTTTTTCTTGTCCCGGCTCCTTGCCGTACATCCCGCCGCCGTACGCCTCCTTGGTCATCGGTTGCATTGGAGATATATTCGGCGGAGTTGGTTGTTTTCCGTCCACCGTACGCCCCCTCTCTCTCTCTTGTCCATCTTTCTCCATTGCTGATGTTGTCTGTCCAAGATTGCATTAGAATTATTCTTTTGTAGTGACCTTGTGATGTCAACTTGTTGACACGTGTTGTTTGTGAAACGTGGCACGAAAAAGGCCTGCCACATCATTTGCCTGCTACAAGTAATTTTTATTATATTTTCAAATACAATTGATTTTAATTGTGTGTTTGAACCACATTATTTTGGAAAAATATATTTTAAAATAGTAGATTGATAGAAAATATGTGGTTGAAAAAGAAGGAAAAGTTATTGATATAATAAAAAATATTATTTTATTGAATAATGTGTGGTTGAAAATGAGTAGAAAAATTGGACTGAAAAAATAATGTGGCTCAAATAGGGGAGTATAACTTTCGCTCTTGACGTTTAAAATAATTCCGAGATTGTTTGGTTTAG